AGGAAGATGGAGATAGAAAGGAGCAGCGGCACATGAGAGAAGACTTTTGAGTCGACTCAAAAGTGGGGAGGAGTGGGGATTAAGGAAGATGGAGATAGAAAGGAGCAGCGGCACATGAGAGAAGACTTTTGAGTCGACTCAAAAGTGGGGAGGAGTGGGGATTAAGGAAGATGGAGATAGAAAGGAGCAGCGGCACATGAGAGAAGACTTTTGAGTCGACTCAAAAGTGGGGAGGAGTGGGGATTAAGGAAGATGGAGATAGAAAGGAGCAGCGGCACATGAGAGAAGACTTTTGAGTCGACTCAAAAGTGGGGAGGAGTGGGGATTAAGGAAGATGGAGATAGAAAGGAGCAGCGGCACATGAGAGAAGACTTTTGAGTCGACTCAAAAGTGGGGAGGAGTGGGGATTAAGGAAGGTGGAGATAGAAAGGAGCAGCGGCACATGAGAGAAGACTTTTGAGTCGACTCAAAAGTGGGGAGGAGTGGGGATTAAGGAAGATGGAGATAGAAAGGAGCAGCGGCACATGAGAGAAGACTTTTGAGTCGACTCAAAAGTGGGGAGGAGTGGGGATTAAGGAAGATGGAGATAGAAAGGAGCAGCGGCACATGAGAGAAGACTTTTGAGTCGACTCAAAAGTGGGGAGGAGTGGGGATTAAGGAAGATGGAGATAGAAAGGAGCAGCGGCACATGAGAGAAGACTTTTGAGTCGACTCAAAAGTGGGGAGGAGTGGGGATTAAGGAAGATGGAGATAGAAAGGAGCAGCGGCACATGAGAGAAGACTTTTGAGTCGACTCAAAAGTGGGGAGGAGTGGGGATTAAGGAAGATGGAGATAGAAAGGAGCAGCGGCACATGAGAGAAGACTTTTGAGTCGACTCAAAAGTGGGGAGGAGTGGGGATTAAGGAAGATGGAGATAGAAAGGAGCAGCGGCACATGAGAGAAGACTTTTGAGTCGACTCAAAAGTGGGGAGGAGTGGGGATTAAGGAAGATGGAGATAGAAAGGAGCAGCGGCACATGAGAGAAGACTTTTGAGTCGACTCAAAAGTGGGGAGGAGTGGGGATTAAGGAAGATGGAGATAGAAAGGAGCAGCGGCACATGAGAGAAGACTTTTGAGTCGACTCAAAAGTGGGGAGGAGTGGGGATTAAGGAAGATGGAGATAGAAAGGAGCAGCGGCACATGAGAGAAGACTTTTGAGTCGACTCAAAAGTGGGGAGGAGTGGGGATTAAGGAAGATGGAGATAGAAAGGAGCAGCGGCACATGAGAGAAGACTTTTGAGTCGACTCAAAAGTGGGGAGGAGTGGGGATTAAGGAAGATGGAGATAGAAAGGAGCAGCGGCACATGAGAGAAGACTTTTGAGTCGACTCAAAAGTGGGGAGGAGTGGGGATTAAGGAAGATGGAGATAGAAAGGAGCAGCGGCACATGAGAGAAGACTTTTGAGTCGACTCAAAAGTGGGGAGGAGTGGGGATTGAGGCAGATGGAGAAAGAACGGAGCAGCGGCACATGAGAGCCGCCATCCGCGCTGCCAGCATGGGGAGGCTCTCTAGCTGCGAGAGGGGGAAGAAGTGGGGGAAGGGATGGTGGGGGTGGGGCAGAGGGAAACGGAAAGGAGCAGCGGCACATTAGGGTTGCCATATGCACATTAGGGTTGCCATATGCACATTAGGGTTGCCATATGCAATGCCGGCTTTCGGTGAGGGGGGAGGGGAAGGGGGGGAAGTGGGGGAAGGGATGGGGGAAGAAGCGGGAATGTGTGGGGTTCCAGGTGGAGCGGTGGGGTTAGGCGCAGAACCGCCATCCGAACCGCCATCCGAACCGCCATCCGCGCTGCCAGCTTGGGGGGAGGAATGGGGCTGCAGGGGGGTTGAATTGGGGAGAGGTGGGGGAGAGGAGAGGCGGGATATTGGTGAGAATGTGAGAGGAGGAATGGAGGCAAGGCGACAGTGAAGGACATGTGCATTGCCATGTGCCATGCCATGCTGATGTGCTGTCCCATTCGTATGAGCCACTCACGAGACTTTCTCCCCAGCCAACGTGACTGCTCATGCATTCATTCTCTTCTCCCTTTCCTTCATGCTTCCCCGCCTACCCTCCCCTCCTTCCTCCTCCCCCCCCAACCCTCCCCCCCTCCTCCACCCCCCATCCTCCATAAGACGTGCCCGGTTAGCATTCATACCCTCCTCCCCCACTCCCACCCCCCTGCTTTTTGACAATTCTCATATGTGACTCTCCCGCACGCTCCCCACTTCCCCCACCACACTCTTTCCCCACACGTGTCGGCTCGCGTTCATACCCGCCTCCGCTCCTCTTCCCCCTCTCCCCCTTCCCCCTCTCCCCCTTCCCCCTCACACTCCCCCTCGAGACGTGCCTGCTCGCGCGCCTGGTTCCACGCACACTCTCCCCTCTCACATTCTTTCCCCCGCGCCCCCCTCCCCCCCCCTTCCCCCCTCCCCAGACGTGCCTGCTCCCGCGCCTGGCCCAATCGGAACGACCATGCGTGATCCACCAAAAACACGTCACCGTGCGCGTCCAATCCCTGCCCGCCAGGTGTCAGCACGACGCGCCGCTGCCGCCCGCCCTCCACCTCCTCGATCGCGAATCTGCCGCCCGCATCGAATCTTTCCGCCATGATCTTCTCGAACAGTCGTGGGTACAGTTCGCGAGGTAACCCTGTCGCGAGTAACAACATTTCGTGCACTTTAACGAAGTCCTCTAGGGTCTGGATGCGCGGAGGCGGGGGCTCCGCCGCGGCGGCGGAGGCCTGCGCATCTGACGGCTGCGCCGGCGTGCTCCTTGGCGGAGCGGAGTCAGCCGCGGGAACCATTAAGGGAAATGTTCCAGTGAACGGGCGCCACGTTGAGACTGCTTCCGCGGAGTGGCTCACGAGCGGAACGAAGGACGCGGAAGGCGGTTGGTGAAACGACGGCTTGGAAAAAACCACTGATTGAATCACATTGCTGGCTTTCAAAATTGTGGGAGGGGTTTTGGGGGCAACGGAAAATTCAGTATTGAGAAATTTGGCGTACTGTATAACACAATTTCGCGTTACCTTTCTCGCCACCGTCGCAAGCTTCGCGGCTTTCCCAAAGGGGGGGTGGTTTTGGTCCAGTTCAGTTAGTGGTCACAATTAGCTTTGCATAATGAACGCCGAGCACGCCGCGAGTACTAGAACCTTCCACGACGCGTATCGAGCTGCTCATGTAACGCGGATTTTAATTCACCGCTCCGTTCTCTACACAAAACCATCCTAACCCACATCTGCCTCCCTCGTACACCTCTCGCCAACCAGTCAAGACAAGACCGAGATTACCAAACCGAGATTACCTCACCACCACAGCGGCACATCTTGCGGATCATACATTTCTCTGACTGATACACGGGCTTTTCCGTGTTCTCACAGGGTAGTCATTTTGAGACCTCGGCGCAGCCAGCGAACATTAGGGCGTATTCCTGGCTTCGGGTCATCCCGGCTTCATGTCATCCAAAATTTGCGGCATCCAATAGAAAAATCCTAAAACCTGAACCGCGGGTTTTCCAATTGGCTACCACAATTTCAGATGACACAAACGCTGGATGACCCGAAGCTAGGAATAGACCGTGTCACTGTCATTCCTTCCTTTCCATTTCAGCCAGTCTTCGTTACTCGCCGTGCCGATTACCGTCTTCTGGTACCGTCATCACTCGCAGGACGCCTCAAGCCTTTTGCGGCTCCGCGGCATTGCTCACAGTCTCTTCTCCGTTACAGGTGCCCTCCTCCTCTTGCTGCACGCCCCCACCGTTCCCGACAATTCCTCTCCATCGCTCCATTTTTGTTGATTCGCCTCAAACTCGCCGTTGGAGGCACTAATATCATTCTCCTCTTCACTCTGGCCGACTCACGTCCCATGACGTTTCGCTTCGTCGCCGTTTGAGGCGTCTCAAAACTCTTCTCGCGTTTCGCTTCGTCCCTCTTTTCGGTTTCCGCGACGATCTAATGCTCGCCGCCACATGATGCGACGATCCAATGCTCGTCGCCGCGTGATGCGCCGATTCAATGCTCGTCGCCGCGTGATGCGACGATCCAATGCTCGCCGCCGCGTGATGCGACGATCCAATGCTCGCCGCCGCGTGATGCGACGATCCAATGCTCGCCGCCGCGTGATGCGACGATCCAATGCTCGTCGCCGCATGTGAACTGGCTTTCCGGTCCTTTCGTCTCTTCAAAACTCACCGTTTTTCACGCTAAACTGCGTGTCGCTTCCAGAGTCCAGGCAGCTTACCGCTGAAATGAAAAGGGCAGTCATAACGGACGATGTTATATGGGACCCTTGTGCCGCTCTTCCCGCTCTTCCCGCTCTTCCCGCTCTTCCCGCTCTCCCCTCTCTTCCCGCTCCCTCAGCCTCTCCCCTCCTTCCCACCACACACCCGCACTCTCCTTTTCTTCTCGCTCCTTCCGCGTTTCCACATCAGATCATTCAACACGAGCGTCACAGCATGGTCCCCCTTCACTTTTGAGTCGACTCAAAAGCAAAAGCACTTTTGAGTCTACTCAAAAGCAAAAGCACTTTTGAGTCTACTCAAAAGCAGACTCGTTTCCACGTCAGATCGTTCAACACGAGCGTCACAACATGGTCCCCCTTCACTCCCTCTCCCTTCCTTCCCTTTTGAGAATTCTCAGAAGCGATGTCAACACGAGCGTCACAACATGGTCCCCCTTCACTCACTCTCTTGGGCGTTAGACTCCCCCTTCCTTCCGCTTTCCCGTGTCAGGTGGTCGAAACGAGCGAGTACAACGATTGCCACAATGAGGGCCTCACTCCCTCCCACCTGCCTCCTCCTCCTCCTTCTCCTCCTCGCCATCGCTCTAACCACACCTCTCCGTTCCTCCCTCCTCTCTGTTCCTTCCGCTTTCCCTTGTCAGGTTGTTGGGACAAACGATTACAACGATTGCGACCATGAGGGCATCACTCCCCCCCTCTTGCCTCCTCCTCCTCCTCCTCCTCCTCCTCCTCCTCCTCCTCCTCCTCCTCCTCCTCCTCCTCCTCCTCCTCCTCCTCCTCCTCCTCCTCCTCCTCCTCCTCCTCCTCCTCCTGAGTCGACTCAAAAGTCACTTCACTCCCTCCCCCTTCCTTCCTTCCGCTTTCCTGTGTCATGTTTTTGGGACAAACGATTATAACGATTGCCACAATGAGGGCCTCACTCCTCCCACCTGTCTCCTCCTCCTCCTCCTGAGTCGACTCAAAAGTCACTTCACTCCCTCTCCCTTCCTTCCTTTCCCGTGTCAGGTTAACGGGACGAACGATTACAAGGATGACAACGATCGCAACGATGAGGGCCTCACTCCCTCCCACCTGCCTCCTCCTCCTCCTTCTCCTCGCCATCGCCCTAACCACGCCTCTCCACACCACCACCGCCGCCTCCGCCGCGGGCAAAGGCGAGTGCTGGCGCGAGAAGCGGGACCTGGAGGAGTGCAGAGCGGTGGAGAAGGTTGCGGCGGAGCGGAAGGAGGCGATGGAGCGCAAGGCGAATGAGACGGAGGAGGTGGCTCACAAGCGAAGGGACACGATGTTTGAGTGCAAGGAAAAGGTCGACCAGGACAACCTGGCGTGGCACAACGAGAAGTCCGATATCAGTACGTTGCTTACTTGCTTCTCTCTCATCAGAACTCCCTTCAATTCTCTTCGCTCCCCTCAACAACACAACAAATAAGCGGCGCGACACGATGTTTGAGTGCAAGGAGAAGGTGGACCAGGATAACCTCGCATTGCATGGCACAACGAGAAGTCCGAGATCAGTACGTAACGTGTTCCTCTCTTCTTTTTGAGAATTCTCAAAAGTGGCACAACGTGAAGGTGAGTCTTCAAGGATGGCCCTCGTTTTGAGACCAGAGTTGGGGCGCCTCAAAATGGGACCAGAGTTAGGGCGCCTCAAAATGGGACCAGAGTTGGGGCGCCTCAAAATGGGACCAGAGTTGGGGCGCCTCAAAATGGGACCAGAGTTGGGGCGCCTCAAAATGGGACCAGAGTTGGGGCGCCTCAAAATGGGACCAGATTTGGGGCGCCTCAAAATGGGACCAGAGTTGGGGCGCCTCAAAATGAGACCAGAGTTGGGGCGCCTCAAAATGGGACCAGAGTTGGGGCGCCTCAAAATGAGACCAGAGTTGGTGCGCCTCAAAATGAGACCAGAGTTGGGGCGCCTCAAAATGAGACCAGAGTTGGGGCGCCTCAAAATGGGACCAGAGTTGGGGCGCCTCAAAATGGGACCAGAGTTGGGGCGCCTCAAAATGGGACCAGAGTTGGGGCGCCTCAAAATGGGACCAGAGTTGGGGCGCCTCAAAATGGGACCAGAGTTGGGGCGCCTCAAAATGGGACCAGATTTGGGGCGCCTCAAAATGGGACCAGAGTTGGGGCGCCTCAAAATGGGACCAGAGTTGGGGCGCCTCAAAATGAGACCAGAGTTGGGGCGCCTCAAAATGGGACCAGAGTTGGGGCGCCTCAAAATGAGACCAGAGTTGGGGCGCCTCAAAATGAGACCAGAGTTGGGGCGCCTCAAAATGAGACCAGAGTTGGGGCGCCTCAAAATGAGACCAGAGTTGGGGCGCCTCAAAATGGGACCAGAGTTGGGGCGCCTCAAAATGGGACCAGAGTTGGGGCGCCTCAAAATGGGACCAGAGTTGGGGCGCCTTAAAATGGGACCAGAGTTGGGGCGCCTCAAAATGGGACCAGAGTTGGGGCGCCTCAAAATGGGACCAGAGTTGGGGCGCCTCAAAATGGGACCAGAGTTGGGGCGCCTTAAAATGGGACCAGAGTTGGGGCGCCTCAAAATGGGACCAGAGTTGGGGCGCCTCAAAATGGGACCAGAGTTGGGGCGCCTCAAAATGGGACCAGAGTTGGGGCGCCTCAAAATGAGACCAGAGTTGGGGCGCCTCAAAATGAGACCAGAGTTGGGGCGCCTCAAAATGAGACCAGAGTTGGGGCGCCTCAAAATGAGACCAGAGTTGGGGCGCCTCAAAATGAGACCAGAGTTGGGGCGCCTCAAAATGAGACCAGAGTTGGGGCGCCTCAAAATGAGACCAGAGTTGGGGCGCCTCAAAATGAGACCAGAGTTGGGGCGCCTCAAAATGAGACCAGAGTTGGGGCGCCTCAAAATGAGACCAGAGTTGGGGCGCCTCAAAATGAGACCAGAGTTGGGGCGCCTTAAAATGAGACCAGAGTTGGGGCGCCTCAGAATGAGACCAGAGTTGGGGCGCCTCAAAATGAGACCAGAGTTGGGGCGCCTCAAAATGAGACCAGAGTTGGGGCGCCTCAAAATGAGACCAGAGTTGGGGCGCCTCAAAATGAGACCAGAGTTGGGGCGCCTCAAAATGAGACCAGAGTTGGGCGCCTCAAAAGCCCCTCAGCTTTTGTACTCTTGCCACGTTTCAACTGATTGGGATTCACCATCCCATCCCGTTCCCATCCACCCCTCCGCACATGCATGCACCCGGCTCACTCTCTTCCACATGACAGGCCTCCTGCAGGCCTCCTGCAGGCCCTTGCTATCTGCTATGTTGCTGCAGGCTCAAGCTCGCAACTCGTCCCGTTCCCATTCCCCCTCATCGTATCATCCCTGCCTTGTTCTGCTCGTTTGAGGTGCCTCAAAAGCTCGCAACTCCTCCCGTTCCCACTCCTCCTGAGCATGTCACCCCGCCGTTCTCTTTGGTGTGTGTGTGTGTGCACAGCTGCTCGGATCGGCACGCTGGACAAGAGGTGAAATGAACTGGAGGAACAGGTGGCTTCTTTGTCAACTCAAACTCTCCCTCCTTCATATCTTCCCTGCCTTGTTGTTCCCTTTGGGTGTGCACAGCTGCACGGATTGGCTCTCTGGACAAGAAGGTCAAGGACCTGGAGGAACAGGTGAAGGCCATGGAGAAAGAGTTATAGAAGAAGCATTAGAGTTCTGCTTTTATATGCGTTTTAGTGGAACTTCGCGCTGGAGATTGTCATTGGTTGTGCCCTATTTTATTTCAAAACGACTTGGTACATTCCTAGTGCTTTTCTAGAATGTTTGAAATGCATAACTTAACTTTACTCTCTATTCTACATGCGCTTATAATAGAATACGAGATGCGTTAGACCTGAGTTGCGAAGTGGTGTGGGGCAAACTGGCGACAGTTTGCAACCCCCAGACACCGGGTTTTGAACGCGATCGGTTACCAATTTCTCGCCGACCTCGTGCTGGGGTTTCCGAAAGCGTTGACTTCGTGTGTATTTCGCTGATCACCCTTGCTCAAGGAAAAGCCCAAGGTAATTCTGACGTGGCAATCCGATCTGGTTCGACCATCTTCCCGAAACTACTTCTACAGTGAAGTTGTGATCCATTCGCTGTCGAAGGCAACGGGTGCGTACGGATTTGATCTGCTTGTGACAGCGAATTGCTTGTGTCAGCTTCGGATCAGGTCGAGATACCCTATTGACACTCCAAGGAGCCCAATACGGGCAGACTCTGTCAATAAGCGAAGCAAAGTTGTAACCAACGAACTCGCCACTAGCCCACTGGGCACCCCACACAGGGCTGCTGGGCAGGGCTTGCCCAAACTAGCATGACATGTTGGGGTTTCGCCGGCTATCGCAGCCAACAGAAATTCTCAGTTGGGTATTCACGCGGAGGCCAGGGGCCTGCACCTGGGGCATCAAGGCTCGCCGCCGAGCCTCGTACACTCGTGCCAAGCCTGGCGCTGAACTGCATTAGCCAGCCAGACAGGTTTGGGCTTGGTTTTGGCGTGTGGGAAATTGAACACTTCTGTGCGCTTCGTCAACATTAACTTCGCACATTTCTTCAGTTCACTCTATCCCATAGCAAGCTTCAACGCACATCCAACAAGCCCAACCCTCCTCCCACACCCAACAACCAACACTCCCCAACACCACCTCTGCGCAGAACCGAACAACAATCTCAGCTTCCATCGTACAATGGCCCCTGCAGACATCGACCAGTCTCCCTTCGGCCGCATGTTCGACCTAGAAACCGTCCCCGATAGTCCCGATTCCGGCGACATGAACGCTGCACACAATTCACTTCTCAACCAAGTTACAGCCGCGGCCTGGACCACCTGCGACGAGAACAGCGGGGAGGAAAACTCGAGCAATCCTGAAGCCCAGCGAGCGGCTCGGAAGCAGCTTCTCGCGGCGCTTATGCAGGCTCTCGCGGATTCTGCCGACGACACCGCCGCCGCCGCCGACGAGCCTTCCTCCTCACCGAAATCCGCAGCGCTGGCAGCAAGATCGCGGAAGCGCAAGGCGTCGGAGATCGAGGCGGAGCCCTCCGCTGCTGCACCTGTCGTGGGCGGAAGCGAAGCGGAGGTGACGCGTGAGCTGCGCCGTGCGATTTGTGCTGTCATCCTCCGCAGCGAACCGTCACGCCCCCGGGGCGCTCCCGGCGCTGGTTTTCCCGGCACTCTCGTGCCTCCCGCGCCTGCGACGCCACCAATGGTTACCACTCGAGCCACCCCCGTCGGCAGGACGCTCGCCCATGGCTCCCTGCAGATGCACTTTCGCCTGCCCATCGCTGAAGGTGCTGCTACTGCACCTTCCGCTGCGCCTGCTTCACTAGCCACCGTGCCAGAAGCAGCAGCTTGCATGAACTACTACTTAGACAACTCAGATGATGACATGGCCGGTTTTGGCGGAATTCCCGCCTGCGGAGGCGCTAATGGGGCAGCAGATGACGATTGGTTGCCGCGCAATCGCGGGCGCAAGGACCGGCATGCGGCGGGCGAGCGCATCAAGGCGCGGAGCATGGCGGAGAGGCAGAGGCGGGAGAGGATCAGTGAGGGGCTGCAGAAGCTGCGCTTGGTGGTGCGCGGGCATGGGGACACAGCCACCATGCTTGACAAGGCTGTAGCATATGTCGATGCTTTGCAGCGCAGAGTGACCGCGCTGGAAACCGCCCTGCTGCTGCACCAAGCGTCGTGCAAACACCCGAGGCAGCCTGAATGGTCCCTGGCCTCTTCTGGGGAATCTTCTGAGCTCTTGTAGGCGTTATTTCCTTAGGATTTTGGATAGCAATAGCGTTGGATCAACTTACAACTAATAAAGCTGGACTACAGCTTCGATGTGTCAAACCAATCTCATTGATCTTGTTTATTCTTTAATGCACATCTTGTTTATTTGATGGCATCAAACTTTGAGCTGAGATTCAGCCCTGGACAGGGCCCTAGATTCGTTTTAGGACACGCTGACGGGTCAGAGTGTACCCTCATTTGAACTCTGTGAGTCAGAGTTGCATGCAATTTTTAGTCTGAAAGTTCAGACAGTTTTTTTTTTTCTGAAAGTTCAGTGTGTCACTAATTTTGGAGGCTGCCAGTTTTTTATACTGCACTTGAAAACATTTCAATCAACTGTCTGAGTCAGATTCTGTCACATGTGACTCTACAACTACCGACTTAACTACTACCTCCTCTACAGCCTCCTTCCCAGCTCTCTGGGGCTCCCTGTGTCTAGCAGCAGGTGCCGTCACTGGCCGGCGCTTCTTATAGCTGCGCCAGATCTCCACTACCCCCGACACGTCCAGCTCATAGTCTAGCATGGACATACACAGCAAGTCACTGAGCCTACAATCTTTCAAACTACCCCTCTGCCACGTCTTGATGAGATTCTGGCGTGAGAATCCTCTCTCGCACTCGACGGTGCTGAGAGGCAGCACTGCAATCGCCACCCAGAGTCTTACGAGGTTGGGGTAGGCTTGCTCCCAGTCAGGTGTCTTGAGGATTGCGGTCAATCCAGTGTTGAACTTGCGCTCGCTCTTGGGAGCTCTGGCCAGGACTGGGCACAGAGTCCGGAGCTCCTTCACGGCACGCTTCTTGTCAATGCCTGGATCATTAGACAAGGCTAGGGATTAGTAACGGACGGAATAACAAGCAGGCGAACGTGCATCACATCTTCAACCGACCTGGCAAAATCTCGTCACAGTCATCGGCGCGGAACAGAGTGACTAGCGATAACAGCCACTCAAGACACTGTGCCTGCCGTGCGCTCCTCTCCCAATTCGGAGGCCACTCCTCAGGTATGAAAAGCCGCACGCCAGAAAGACAGTCGAGGTCGCCGAGCTTAGACTGGAGCTCTTGGATAAGGCCCTCGGCAAAGTCGGTGCAGAGCGCCACACACGCATCGTGATGGCCCGCCCCGAGATAGTTCGCCACTCGGCGCTCGTGAAGGGTGATCTTAAAGCGGTTGAGACTCCCATCCGATGACGCGCCTTCCACCACCATCTCCGGTGTCCCCTTCGGCCCATGCTTCTCGATGAATCAATGAAGCCGCTCGTTAGGCCCGCCGCCGAAGTCATCTCCGCAGTCGATGTACCGACTCTCCAGGAGTGATGTTGTGCGCACAATCTGTCTGTGCACCAGTGGGTAGTCGAGCTGCCACATCAATAGGAAGTTTTAGTAAGTGCACGGCTTCCGGTTAAGAGAAAACCACGAGTAAAAACGATCTTACCTCACGATGCTGGAAGACCTTCGACAGGATGTTGAGGAGGTCCAGAACGTCCGCGAGGAATCGGAGCAGAAACTGAAACCGGTAGGACGTGACGAGCTCGTACATCGTCTTGTCCTTCCACTCCGACAGCATCACCATGATGGCTGGGAGGACCTCGACGAAGCGGGCGACCGCAGCACCCCTTGAAAGCCACCGCACCTCGTGGATCCCCTGCACCTCGAGGTTGGTGGAGGTAAAAACCTCCTGCAGCTCCATGAACCGCTGATGCCACGGTGAAGATCGCCCCAAGTACTCAGCGACGGCGCGGATGACGTCGTCGACCATGTTGAAGGTGGGTATGGACTCTGCAGCGGCTTTGGCAGCCAAAGCCTCCCTGCCACACGTACAAACAACAGGATTAGCATCGCATATAACTGTAAATCGGTTATGCAAACATAAGCAACAACAACGCACCTGTGAGCGATGCAGTGGAACGAAACCAGGTTGGGGATGAGCATCCGAAGACGAGCCACCACACCGTTGTGGGCCCCCACCATCACCATCGCGCCGTCCGTGCTCACTCCCGAAATCCGGCGAAGGTCCACGCCGACAGCCCTGATGTGGGAGAGCATCAAACTACAGAGGGAAGCAGCGTCAGCTTTCTCAACCGTGAGGTGAGCAAAGAACTCGGTTACAACTTGTTTGTCACGCAGGAAGGTTGCAAACACGATCATGTGTTTGCCGCGCCGCCGGTCTGTGCTCTCGTCTAGTGTGATCCCGATGAAGGGGCTCGTCAGAAGGTGATCCAGCTGTGTTGTTTGGAGCCATGTGGAAATTGCTTGTGTTAACTCTCCAAAGCCGTACCTGTAAAAGAAAAAACAAACCATAAGCAGTTAGCAAATGTGCAAGAGGGGGGACCAATTGATGCGGTGGTTAAAGCAAGAAGCTTACGTGTTATAGTACGTGCCGTAGCCCTGCTCTGGAAAGCCGGGCACCTTCTTCTTCGCGAGATAGCGCACAAGCCGAATCCAAGCGTCCATGGGCTCGTTGCACGAGCTCATGAAGTACAGCGACTCCACTAGCGCATAGATCTGCAACATCTCCTTGTCCTGCGCTTTTGGGTGAAGGTCGATGCGCCGCTGATCGCCATACTTCTGGAGGAGGTCCTCCTGCCGCTTCAGCGCGAATCGATGCTTCACCGTGCCTTCATGCTTCTTGAAGGCCTGCGTCTGCACGTCGGTCGCGCCCTCACCACCCCGTCCACACTTGCCTGTAAGTCCTGCAAACTCCAGGCATATGCTGCACTTAAAACTGGGGGCACCGGTTGAGGTTTTAGTTAGATCAAGCCATTCGTAATCGGTAGACCACTTTGTTTTGAACCGAAAGTGTGCTTCTTCATACTTCAACTCCAACTTGTCAGAGTCAGACTTGTCGGTGGGCTTTGAGCTGCCCTGCATGGGAGATTCGACTCTCGCTGGAGCTTCAACAGTCGATGGAGGAGGAGGCGTTACCCACGGAAACGTGGTCTGACGGTACCGCAGCTTCGTCGGTGGTGCGGGACGGGACGGTGCTTCTGCGGACGCATCATTGGGCACAGACTGTGGCGCAGCTTCAACTGGTTCAGTGACGGCCGTGTGCACTGGTTCAGGTTGCACGGGAACAGGAGGACGGCTAGAGCTAGGTTGCAAAGGTGGAGTAGTCGGTGGGACATGCGTCGGTAAGCAAGACCTAAGAAAGTCCAGGCCGGTCAAAGCGTCTGGAGCAGGCAGTCGCTCTGGCTCGTCATCATCGTCGGCCGACTCGGCGGCAGCGTCTGTGGCTGCCATGAGTCTGCCGAGCACAGGTTTTGCGAATGCAAGGGAGAGTCTGAAACAAGGGTTCTAGCACTAGTCTCTGGCGAAGAAATTGAATGAAGCGAGCGGGGAAGGGCACGGAGTGACCCCCATGAAGGGCGACGATGAGGAAGATGACTGGTCCTCGTATTTGGACCGCTCATCTCCCTGCTGGTCACTGCATGCACGGTACCTGGTCGTGGGTGCTGGGAAGGTGGGGTGAGTGGGGTGCATGGATGTGGTGACGTGAGGGCTGCAGCGCGCTGCGAGCTATGCGGTGGCAAGGTGCACGGTGGAGGGGGGTGGGTATTGTCCGGGTGCAGCGCGGTGCGAGCTATGCGGTGGCAAGGAATCTTGCCAACACTGCCTGCTGCGCTGCCGCGATTGGCTGAAATTGAGCCAAATTACAGCATTCCTGGCACAACGTGACTGTGCGGTGAATGGCTGCGCTGGGGAAAATTTTCGTTTCCCGCCCGTGATTGACGGTGTTAGTGCAAACACGCCGCCGCCAGGCTGGCGGACCCCTGCAGTACCCGTTTCAGAGTGCACCCCCGGAACAAGGCTGAGGCTCAGCCTACACCCCTACAATTGTCACGATAATAGGCAAAAGAGGGGCATGAACTAGCAAGAATGGGGGTACAAATAGCAAACCCTAGAAGGGTTGTACTCGCTATAGAGCACCCCACTACAGGCTAGAGCATAATATTCTGACACACCCCCATAGCCAAAGTGGGGTGTAATCAGCAGAGCAAACAAAGCAGTACAAGCTCAGGGTGGATCACAATGTCACCACACATTCTGAGCACAAGTTCAAGAAGCAATAGTTTAAAGGTTCAAATTATGAGCAAAGCTAGAGGCAGTCACAGGGGGGCAAGTGAGGAGGAGGAGGGCTGGCGAGAGGAGAGTAGATAGGAGGCGACGACTGAAGCTGCAGACACACGGGCAACAGACGGCTCTAGTGCGAGAACGTGGCTACCGGGAATGAGTGCCCCGGAGTACAGGAGTAACAGGCTCCGCGGCTAATATGCGCGGGAGGAGCAACGGACCCACAGGCGACGGCGCAACCGGCTCTCTGAGCTACCGGTGGCTAATCGAACCCCGGAATACAGGCGCTGCGGACGACACGACGGCGGCCTCCGCTCAACCTCCTCCAACTGTCCCACACCCCTCGACACGCACCCTCTGCTTCAAACCCTAGCTCCACTCCGACGGTACCCCCCTTAAACCCCAAACCCTAGGCTCCCACACACCACCCCCCTCAGCGGCAGCTGTAGCAGAGGGAGACGAGGGAGGAGGAGGAGCAGGGGGAGGAACTCACAACCGATACCCCCATAGCCGCCACCCCCACACTCTTCACCCCCAAACCCTAATTCAGGAGAACGGGCTGTAGGAGGGGTGGGGCGCCGGTAGAAGCACGGGGGACAGTGGAGAGGGCAGGAGCAGCGAGGAACGGGCCGCCCACGGGCCTGGTATAGCCGCCCGAACCGCGCGCAGGCGGCCCGAGCCGCGCGCGGGCCTGGCGCTTCCCGTACGGGCCGCGCGCGGGCCTGGCGCAGCCCGTACGGGCCGCACGCCGGCTGGACGGGCCGCGCGCAGGCCACGACGGGCGACGGGGGGCGACGCGCGGGTCCCCGTCGCCCGTCGCAACGCCTCCCGGGGGCGACGCGTCGAGTGACGGGGCAGAAGCCCGCCGCGCGCCTCGGGGCGCACAGCGGGCAGAGAACCGCCGCG